TTGATTCGAGTATGGATCCTGTGCTTTCAGTAGTACGGGTCCCAATACTACCTTCCACACCTATCCATGCTTTCCTCAAGAATCATCTCGGGTCCTCTAAGTCCTAGTCATAAAATACTCCTGAAATCTGCTCAGCAGCAAAACAACTGCACTAAATGCAATAAAACCGGACATATCCTTGTGTGAAATCCATGATCTCAGACTTCCAACACCTTGCGTGCATCTTCGCCCTGCTCACACTCTCCCCAGTGTGGCTAATCAATCCTCGTACTGACCCGCTATACACTGCACCCGCTCATGAAACTTCCACCAACCCTGCAGCACTCGTGTATGCTAGTCATACATAACATTGGATCCTATAGACAGTCGGATACCCGATCCTACTCTAAGCCCACAACTAGACAAGGAACAGGAAATAAAGCCAAACAAAATATTCTCAGGCTATCGAATCTTAGTTATGTACAACTATGATGCATACACTAAGCAACTACAGTAATGATGTCAATTTCATATAAGGAAAACCCTAGGCTATCAAGCATCATATAATCAGACAATTCTATCATGCAATTCCTGAAGATCCTTAGCCTAGCACTAGCATACTGTTCTAACATATCAAATAACCGTATGGTATTTTGGGGTCTACTTACTGGCTCCGGCTGATCGTACACTTCGCATCCTACTTTAGTATTTTGAAAATCATTTTGAAAATCTTTGAAAATCCTTTTTCCTTAGTTTGAGATTGGATTCACACGAATGTTTCTCCACTTCCCTCAAACCAAGGCTCTGATACCAACTTGTAACACCCATAAAAATCAAGCCAATTTAAAACTTTTTAAATCATTCATAAACCAATAATTATTACAAATTTGTTTTCAAAATGGTTTCATGTAAGAGTACCCCATAATCAAATCATAAAAATATAAGGAAGTGTACGGTCACACCTCACCTTCCCACGGTCATCCGAAGTACCTGAAACAATAATCCATAAATGTAGGCTCGAAGGCTTAGTGAGTTACCCCCAAAATACCAACATCATACAACCAAATCAATATCACAACAAACAATATGCATAAAGAGTCTACAGTATGACTGGATCTCCCTCATCGGGCCTTCAGTCTATCTGGACCACTCTTAGAACCTTTAGCATGTCTGGTCCGCCCTTACCGGGCGTACAGCCTGTCTGGACCGTTCTCCGGGCCTTCGGATTGACTGGACCAAACGCACCGGGCCTTCAGCCTATCCAGGTTGCCCTGGGTCTGTTAGCCTTCCGCACAAAGTAGGACCGCCTTAACCCAACCACAATCACACAATCAACACATAAATATCAAAAGCTAGCTAACATGCGCAAACAGTCAACAGATCTAACATATCACTAATCATAACACCATCCGAACTACCAGGATGCAGATCTAACAGATCACTAATCATAACATCATCCTATATCCAGGATACAGATCTAACAAACCAATGAGCATAGCACCATCCTATCTACCAGGATGCAGAACTAACAGATTACTGAGCCATCAGCCTGACTGGACCGCCTCGCAGGGCCTACAGCCTATTTGGATCGCTCCCGAGCCTTCGGCACGTCTGGACCGCCTCGCAGGGCCTACAGCCTATCCGGACCGCTCGTCGGGCCTTCGGCCTGACTGGTCCGCCTCGCAGGGCCTTCATTCTATCCTAGCCGCCCTGGGTTTGTTGATCTTCATCACATGGCAGGACCGCCTCAACCCAAACATACACATACCTATGTCGATATACTAATAACACATAATCAATCAACAAACAAGCACATATCATACAAATCATAACAACATAATAACATATTATAACCAGGATAACAATCCAAAGGGTCGGCCTTGGTGCCTTAGACCCTATTGATATAGCGAGGAGAACTCACCTCACACTGCTGAAGTCCTGCGGATAAAACCCTAGCTGCTGGATGACAGATTCTCGAACTGTCAACATCAAAACAACACCCAATTAATAATTGGGTTCCCATACATAACCACAAGTCAATTCTTGGGGTAAAAGACTACTTTACCCCCAACCTAGTTTAATTCAATCCCAAGGCCCAAACTCACACTCCAAAGGCCCAAAAGTCAACCAATGAACCAAAACCCAACATATGGCCCAATTTTCCAAATTGGGTCCAAACCCCTCACATGGTCTTACCTTAAGGCCCAACCATTTATTCTAGTCCAGACACTTGGCATTCCAATGGTCCAATATCTCATAATCACCAAGGCCCAATTATGGCCCACCTATGACCCAATTTTTCAAATTGGGCCCAAGTATTTCCAATGGGCCTTATCCTAAAGCCCATCCAAATATTCTAGTCCATATACTTGTTCTTGGATAGCCCATCCATAGCCCAATCACCAAAGCCCAATAGAAAGGCCCAACTCAAGGCCCAAGCAAAATTAGGATTTTCACATAAAATGACGATTAGGGTTAAGTGTTCTTACTTAACCCATTAAGGACTTAATCCATTAAGTCCATCATTCGACTAGATAAATCATACGGTGTGATCGAGTGTAGTTCATAATTCAATTCCAATGGCCCAAAACGCGGGTCCAGATAAGTCCAAACCAACAAATCCAAAATTAGGGTTTTCTAAACCCTAATTAGGGTTTCCAATCCAATCGTGTGCCCATTAGTCAAATGGTTAGGTTTTTAGGTCAATTAGGGCTTCATTAGGTCAATAAGGGTTAAATAAGTCGGGCACCACACACTACCACCTCGGGTAGTGGTGGTCAACGGCGGCTCATGGCGGCGGCGGCCACCTCGTGGTGGTGGTTATGGTTCTAGTCCAATCATGTCCAAGCATCCCAAAGCAATCTAAACACAAGCAAAAGCAAACTGCAACCCAACACGGCGGCTGGTGGCGGCAGAAGGTGGCAGCTACCACCTCACGGTGGTGGTTATGAATTTCTTGATTATTCTGTCACCAATTACAATTATATAACACAATATCCCAAAATAAACACACACACAATAAGATACACACACACAGCCACCCTTGTGGTGGTCGACGATGGTACAAGGTGGTGGTGGTGGCTTTTCTTATGAAATCCGGCCAAACAACCAACTCTACGGCAGGCTCTCTAGTGGCAGAAGCACACCCACACGTTTGCTCGGAAAAAATAAATCCAACCACCCAACTGGTGGTGCACGGTGACGGCAGCAGCAGCACTAACGGCAAAAGCGGTGGCTAACGACGGCGAACTAAGATTGCAGCAACTTTGTTTTCAACGGAAACGGGCAGTGGCGGCGCCAACGGAGCTGAGATGCAGCGCCGACGAACAGAAGAAGGATGATAACATCAGCTGACGGTGAAACAGCCGCATGGCGGCGGTAGCAATGACGAGACCCAATCAGCAGCACATTCGACCGGTCTCGGTGGTTCTTCCGGTTTCGCTTACATCTCCGGCAACCGCGTTGCGATGACGCTCATCGGCGAGGCAGCAGGCGGCGGCCTTGGCTGATCTGAAGGACGAGCATGGTGGCGACTGAGTTTACAAGTGACGGCTGATGAGTCCCTTAAGGTTAGGGTTATGGGATGGGTTATATACCCGACACCATTTGAAACTTCCTTCCATAATGACGCAAATGGTCCCTCCCCATAAGAATCTTTTCAAACAAAGTCCATAATTTACCATTTATACCATGCCTTCTGAAATCCCTTTCAAATCAAGTCCGCAATTTACCCAACAGCCCCCAGCCTTCAAATCCTTTCATAATAAGTCTAATACTTATCAAACACCCCCTGACTTTTAAAAATCTTTACAAAATAAATCCCGAAATTACACTTTAATCCCCGAAATCTAAATCATGTCATTTGACTCCCTGAAACCAACACCCCAATAAATATTATGGAATTTAGGGCTACTATTCATTTATTAATCTTTATCTATTTATTTATTAATAAACGGGATGTTACAACCCATCTCCTTCAACAACGTCAAACCATCCAAACCCACCACCCGTTTCACTACCATCAAGGTTGCGACGACAGGGGAGGTCCCCACCAAAGAAGCTCCGATGGGATTCATCCCACCTGAACTCGACCCTAACACCTCATCTCCAATCTTCGCCGTAATACCCCACCAGAGCAGCTCCCTCCGCCACTCCTTGTTGCCATGGTAAAAACCCACCACCACCGTGTTTATTTTGTCGAGTACAGGAGCCCCAAACATCCCCGACCCTTACTCATTCCTCCCCCCGTATCTCACGCGGCGATTTCTTCCCCTTTACCGGTCACCGGAGCAGCTCCCTACAACAACCCCTCTCGATTTCTTCCCCTTTATCGGCTCACCGCTTTCATCACTAATGTTTCTTTGCAGCATCGATTTTGATAGCCACTAAACTGAGTCTTCTCAACATCCGTCGGAAATCAGTGGACCTCAGCCCACTATCACCGGACCTGCACTCTGTTGCTGAATCGATGTCGGATATATACCTTGATCTCTGTGTGTGTATGTGTGTGTTCATAGTGAAAGTGGGTGAAGATCTATAAGTTTGTGGGTTAATCTAAGTTGCAGGAAAAAAATGAGAATCAATTGTTTGAGAATGGAGGAATCGGAGAAATCGATTGTTTGCAAGAAAAAATTGGAGTCTCTGATGTTGGAATTTGATGTTCAAATGGATTATGAACGAGGTTTGGATCGGCGGTGGGTTTACACATGAGAGAGAGAGATGTGGGCCCCAAATTAATTAATTATTTTATTTTTCATTTAAATTAAATAGAAAAAGCATAAAAAAAATATATCAGAAGGGCATAATAGTCTTTTCAATTTACTGAGGGACCAAAAACGCAACGAAACTAGGTCAAAAAAACAACCAATCCAAAAAAATCATGGTTTGAACTAAAACCCAAAAAATTACATACGACTCCGAACATTTTTGCACTTTTGTCTTCATTGAAAGTTTGAATGTGTATCCGACCCGTTGTTTTGAATCCGAACATTCCCATCCATAATATAAAGTAAAGGCCGTGAACTACGCATTTTGATTCTTTTCAATTTTGATCGACAAAATAAAGCAATAAGGAGTCATCGTCTCTCCTCTTTTCCCAAACGCAAACCCTAGAAAGAGGAAAAGAGAAAAGAGTCTCCTTTGTGGAGAGCCGAGAGAGCGAAGATGGTGTTCTACTTCAAAGCCCGACCAGAAGCCGGAGACTACACCATCTTCATGGGTCTTGACAAATTCGAGAACGAAGAACTCATCAAATACGGGTTTCCCGAAGATATATGGTATACACCCTCCCCCTCCCTATCTCTTTCCTTAACTTCGTAATTCACATAATTTAAAACGTTAAGGAATAGGTATCTGTGGGTGAGGGTCTACGCTTATGTAAACTGGATGATTGTTCATTAATGTTCTTGATCCGATTGCTTCTATGTGTACTGAATTGTCCATTTTAATCGGTATGGATACGCATGTCGATCAAATTTACTATTTCTTTAGCTTTTGTGAAGGTAATAGTATTGTTGGAAAGGGGGGATTGTGAAATTGTGCTCTTACATTACCCAAATTGCAATAATTAGCAAGTTTCTTAGACTCATTTCTAATTTCTAATATGGTCGGGTTTGTAAATGATTACTAATCCCGAGTTGAATGAAGTCAGTAAAGTTTATTTCTTTGTTATATCACATAATTTAGTTTAATGAAGATGGCAATGTTTCTTTCTTTGTTAAAAAGGTAAAATTATTTTTATTTAGTAAATTGAATATCAAAAGATTTTAAGTCATATGAATGTCTTACAATTTCTGATTGTTTTAATCTCTTTTATCTTACAATCTTCTTTTCTTTTATATTATTTAGCACAACACAATAGAATCAAGATTTAATTTGCTAACATACCTACATCTTTCTGTTGTTCTTTTCTGAAAGTGTATGTAGTTATGATAACAATGAAACTAAGACATCTTCAGTGCTCATTTCTTTTTGACTCAATGCAGAAAGAACGACTTAATAAAGGAAACTAGGGAAATGAGATTTTCCTTTAAGGCTTTAACTATACAAATTTCTTGGGTCTAATTCGGGCACAAAAACTACCAATTTCTTTTTTTGGATTAATTATTTTCACCTTATATCTAGTTTATCATACAGGGTTTTTTCTACCTCAGGTTCCATGTGGACAAAATGTCTTCTGCCCATGTTTATCTAAGGATGCGTAAAGGTCAAACAATTGATGACATTTCTGAAGGACTTCTTGAAGATTGTGTTCAACTTGTCAAAGCAAATTCCATCCAAGGCAAGTCCATTCTCATATAACAATTAAACATTTTTGTTATTACCCATATGGCCCTTTACTTTATCATAATTTTTTTTTTTTCAAATCATTTGACAGGAAATAAAGTGAACAACATTGATGTTGTTTATACACCTTGGCAAAACTTAAAGAAGACTCCATCCATGGATGTAGGTCAAGTTGGCTTCCATAACAATAAAGCTGTGAGTCACTTCACTTCTATTTTTCTTTCTAATATTAAAAAAAAACACATCAAAGTTACTAAAAATAGAAACATTTTTTTTCTTTCTATTTTTGTGTTTAGGTGCGCACTGTGAGGGTGGAGAAGCGAATAAATGAGGTAGTTAATAGACTGAACAGGACAAAAGTTGAAAGAAAACCTGATCTGAAAGGTACTTTTTAATTCAGTTATTTGACTTTAAACGATTGTTATAATTTATAAAAACCATTTAACAGAAATTTTATCAAGATAATCAATTTTGAAAAATATGTTGGTTTTAGTAAAATGAATAGTAAAAGGTGTGTGATTAATTTAGAAATTTTATTGTTAATTTTCATGTTGTTTATTTGTAGCTGAGCGTGAAGCAGTTAATGCTGCAGAAAGGGCAGAGAGGAAGCAGCAGCTGAGAGACAAAGTGAGTATATATTGATAACATGTGGAATTATATTTTACAGAAAAGCCCTTGAACTTTCACCATTTTATCGATTTAGACACGTAATATGATGTTTGTACAGAAAAGGAGAGAGGAGATGGAAAGGCTTGAAAAGGAGAGACAAGCGGAGGTGAGGAGCTACAAAAATCTAATGGTGGCTGACAAAATGACTTCCAATAAAGAGATTGCATCAACCCACAAGTCCTTACAAGAACTCGAAGAGGATTTCATGTAAAACATATCTTTCACAAATACAACAAACCAAACTGTTTTCTGACCATTTTGACCAATGGTTTTGGTTTTGGTTTTATTGATTGATGTAGACTTGTGGATTTCAAGTGTTATGATTATGATATGATGATGCCCCGAGTCTCTTGGTTTTTGTGGATGTTTAATAAAAAGGTAAAATGGCCGGAATTCCACAATTCCAAGAGGGAGGGAAGCTTGGTTTGTATGAATTTGTTGTTTGCTACTTTTTTTTTTTTTTTTTTATGATATCATGATGATAAAGTTATCTTAAATTCTTGGTATGATGTTTGTGTAGGCTATTGTATTTGCATTAAGTTATCTTGATATGCATATGGTATAATTACAATATCCTCATAGCGAATAAACATGTTGCTTTTGTTATGAAGGACAATGGTCTGAACAAGTTTTCTAAGGCTACCTTTGATGATAAAGATGAAATGGGTATTTATGTCTCTACTTTGAACTGTGTTTGTATGTTGTTATACTTCGGGACTTCACTTTATGAGACTGTTTTCAATGATAATGATGAAAGCGAGATTTATGTTTTTACATGTTTGAATTTGGACTTGTGTTACAAAGGATAACCAAATAAATTAGTTTTTAGGGTTATTTTTATTGATTAGGATGAAAAGAAGCATTTATGTTTTTATAGTTGTATGTGATGCCTACGTTGTTTGAATATGGCATTTCACTTGGATTGTGGTTGTTACAAAGTACAACGCACTAAACAAGTTTTCTAACGATTCCTTTCAAGTGGGTGTTAAAAAAAAAAAAAAAAAAGTCATTCGTAAGCACCAAGGGGTTTAAGATAAAAACCTTAAGTCATCCACTACTCCAATCTTCCTATCTAATAAACAAAACTACTATGCCACGTGTCCACTCAAAAACAATCATTTCTTACAAAGTTAAATACCAATTTTGCCCCTGCTTTATTTCACCGTATATTCAATAAAAATCACGTCATCAGAGTTCTCTTCTCGGTTCTTGAATTTCAGCTTTTCGATCTTTTTCTGGTACAGTCCTCACCACAATAACTCCGTATTTAGAGTTTTCTTGGCGGTTCTTCTTCTCCCCACGTTTTGCACAATCCCTGGTTGTCTCCTCCAAGATCGTTTCATTGATTGTCGGTTCTTCTTCTCCCCACATCTTCTTCTCTGATCTCTGACTTTAGGATTGCCTTTTATTGTTGCCTAATTCATCGATTTCATCCATGGAAATTAAAGTAAGGTATGTTTCTCTTAATAACCTTTGATTCCCATCTACCTTTCTCCTGAAATCAAAGATATAGCTTACCATATGACAAATTTAATTTCAATTTTGAAATCATGTTTTTCGGTTGAAGTTGTATAACCCTAGAAATAGTTCTCTTATATTTTTCTTGACAAACACGGTGGTGTTAGGGATTGTTATCGTCCTCCGGCAGCGACAATGCCTACCCCTATGGTCTCTGGCAACGATTGCTCTTCATCCATTGTTCTTAATGATCGTTTTTCTTCCATACTTACCTTGAAGATAAGGAAGTTGTACACCTAATTGAACCTATTTTTCCTCAAAGATTGTTGCAGTCTTCCAGAAGACTTTGAGGCTAACTAATGAGAGTCGCAGAAAGATTGCATCTGGGAAGATAGTTAACTTGATGACAACTGATTCTGAATCACTCGGGGCATGTTTCATTACCATTTTCCTCCATTTTAGTCATATATTATATATTTTTATTATCTTTCTAATTTTCTTTCCATTTCTTTTCCAACAGCAAGTAACTCAATCACTTCACACTTTATGGTCTGCACCTTTTCGTATCATTCTTGCTTTGGTTCTTCTCTACCAACAACTTGGTGTTGCTTCAGTCCTTGGTGCATTATTGCTAGATCTCATGTTCCCCATACAGGTACTATCACTCATACATACATACATACATACATACATATAACTTGTAATTTGTCATGAGGGCTAATTCCTCTTGCAGGGTCCAAGCATCCTTTTTTATATCTGGATTCAAATGATTATGCCACCTGAAACATTACAAATTTAAACAATTTTTTTTAAGGAAGTCATGAAAAATACTTTCAAGAATGTAATTCTTGCATTATACCTTTCGCGACACTGTTTCCCAATACAACCTGGGAGAGACTTTGCAATCAGAGACCATTTTGTGGGCCCGTATCTTTTCACAAGTTCAACAATTTTTCCGTCCTCCTGCAGCCAGAAAACAGAGGCCAAAATACTTTTTTAATCAATTGTTTCAAAGAATATATGCATAAAAAAGTATAAATCAAATTAGGTGCAAACCTCTTGAGTCCATGGACCTTTAATAAGTTATGGATTAAGAACCTTTTTCCATCGATGCAAACACTGGACTTTTGATCTATCAGGAAAATATTCAGCTGCAAAACAACAAGATTCTTAAGTGAACCCTCAAAATTATCAACATTAGGATATTAAGAATCCTTTATGTTATGAAGAAGTCTCATAAATCTATGTAACATTCGAAGCATAAATTAACATTAGATGCTACTGGAAACATAAAAGAAAGAGTCTCACACCTATTTTCTTCCAGCATTTGCCCTTGAAAATACCAACAGAAACTTCATAAAACATAAATTTTTTACAAAATTTTGCATGTTAAACGCCATCATATTGCACAAAGATCAAACAAACTACATACCTCCTCTGGGGTCCATCCCCCTTTTGCTCTTCTGATAGGTCCACTTGTCCTTCTATAATTCCAAATCATATTCTTAGTGCAAGAAACCAAATGGTAGTACCAATTCAAAGATGAAATTAAAACAGACAAAGAATAAATAAACATAGGCAATTAGGCATTAGATTATGCAATAATTGCTATAAATTTCAAGTAGTGATAAAGTTCTTTCAATGTTTTTGCATCCTTCTGCAACAATATTACCTTACTAGACACGAATGTAAAGGATTTACAGGTGTTGAAAAGGATGCAATTAAACCTATTTGACGATTTCAAAAATACAAGTGTTTTTTTTCCTTTTGATGTTATTTAAATGGATCTTATGAATGTGAGTATGACACATCCTTTCAGGCAAAAAAAAAAGTATGTTATAGTGTAGTAGTTTGTAAGTTAAAATCAATTTATCAACTTTGCATTCAGAATTTAGTCAAATAAATGTTACTGGTTAATAGGTTATAAATGGAGAAATTTTGGTTAAATGGTTATAGTGTTTTTGTTCCTTTCCATTAGCTTAAACAGTAAAAAGGAAAAAAATCCGATTATTGAATGCATACAGAGACATGGTGGTTTTCATTAATCATACAACTATAACCACTGACCTGATTCTTTGGTTATTTAGGTGTTTATGATCTGTTTGATTTGGGGATTATGGTTGGTCTTTTTGTTACAACTTTTATACACAATAGATGGAGGCTTAGCTGAAAAATGAAGGAAAGGAATTCAATTATTTGACAAAGCAATGGTTGCAATAATGACGACTGAAAGGAAACTAAACAACATTGGATCAGCTGCCAAATCATGCAGGTTGTAATAAAACTTCAAATGCTATCTTTTGGGTTCTATATTATAACTAGATAAACATATTTGGCTATTAGTTTAACAAAATTCATAATTTTAGAAAAATATTACTTTATTTTGTTTCTGTTGCTAATGAGCTAATGAGCAGGGCTTCTTATGTAATTTGTTTTTTCCATTTACATTCTGCAATCTACAAAGTGTTTTATATAGGGTTTTGTGTAATTAAATCAAACAATTTCCTTTTGTTTTTCTTTCACTGTTTTTATTGATTTTAAATATGGTTTAAATCTTATATATTTGAAATATGATTTTACTGATTATATATACTTTTTATTATATTAAAGTTGAACACTTTGTATTTGATTTTCCTAATGCCCCTTAATTATCTTTTCATAGTTAACTGAAAACTTTACCTTTTTACCCCTGTGAATTATAGTTTGAAATGAAAAGAGGCCTCACAATGTTGAAACGAAAAGGATTAACCGGCAGTGTTCATATACATAATTGATCGGATCAATTGATGTTGCATGTTTTTTGAAGATTTGTTTTTTTTAGTATCTTTATAGTCAAAATATGCAATTTTTAGTCTTTTAAGTGGCATGTCTCCTATGTAATTGAGTTTTCCATACTATCAATCCTCCGAGTAGTATATATATATATATATATATATATATATATATATATATATATATATATATATATATATATATATATATGCCATGTAATTTACATGAAATGGCAACATATTTTGAAAGTATATTGTCATTTCATGTACAATACACCTCCACTTGGACAATTTACATTCAGTTTTTATAATAACCATTGTTATCATACATGTACATGTGATTCTATAATGACATATATGAATTTGGATAAAAATGATAAGAAAGGTTCATTGTATGTCATAAAAAAGTCTAAAATTGTAAGATGTTATTAATTATACTTGTACATGTGACACAAATAAATATATATTAATTTTAAATAATCAATATAAAAATCTAAACAAAACTTATATCTTATTAGTCTAATAAAATTTTATAAATTATTCACCCGTGGTTTCCACGGGTTGTAACCTAGTATATACATATACACGTGTCCTCTATACAATGAGTTGGATAGAATTTTGTTATAAAATTTGTTATCTAATAAAATTTATAATTATCTTATTTAAAAAAATAAAAATTAGTAATTTTTTTTCTCTATAAATAAAATAAAGTGTAATATTGACGTAATTCAAATCCAATCCCGATTCTATATTTCTAAGCTCTTTTAATTTCATAATTTCTATACGAGGGATAATATGTATCCAAATGTTTATTTGGATTTTGGAGGCTCCAAAGATTCACAAGTTCTCAATACTATGAAAACCTTCCGTCTTTTTCCAAATTCAAATTAAGTTAATGTCACATAAAATCTCCAAACATCACAAAACACTGACAAATGACCACGAAAGATAATAAATGAGATGTTGAAGATATCGTTTTAATATGATCATAGTGTATGGCTAGTGAAGATATCACTCGTGGGAAAAAAACAACATTGTAGGCACAAGTGAAGGCAATATATGATGCAACTTGGGAAAAAACCCATAAAAACTTAATAACCGGAACAGAGATCAAATATGAGGTCGTTATAAAAGACTTGGCAAAATGACCAAAAGTAGGTTGGTATATCCGAGAAACATATATCCAAAGAAGAAGTGGAATGAGTCAAAAGGATACTGAGAATGAAGTTATTTTCTTTATTGCACATGAAGTTGTCAGTATCATCTTTATTGAACATAGATTTGTCGGCTTCATCTTATGATCTAGCAAATCTTACATTACCCCCATTTTCATTCGTCGACTTTTTATTGGATGTTTGGATATATTTAGATAAAATAATTTAGGATTTTTTTTCCAAATAGCATGCCTACAAATTGACAACAAAGAACCTCTACTAATGACGAGGAACAACATTTTCAATATTCCACTCATTAAATTGTGAACCTATGTAGTTATATGTAGTTATATGAATAATAGGGCACAATAGAACCTTGTATCACTTTAAATACATTTTGATTGAAATATATAATTTTTTTTGGCAATGAGTAATTATGTAATTTGCAACTTTCATATATGTACTTTATATGTCATGTTGTGATTGTAATTTAGTTTATCTATTTTGTAAAATATGTTTAACCAATGTAAAATATTTTTATCTATTTTTATTAATTTTTATTTATTTTTTATATCTAAAATAAACAAATTTCTATTTCAAAATAAATTAATTATTTTTAATATTTATAATTACTTTTATTAGAATAAGAAATAGTTATGAATTATATTTATTTAATAAAAAATATGTTTGTAATAGGTGTGGAATTGAATTTAGTTGGTTGTGTAAGTGAACAAAATTTATTTTATTTAATATATAATTGGGTTTAGTTTGGTTGTTAATGATGAGGTTGTAGTCAGGAAATGCTAAAACTGAGTCTTTGTCTTTTCCACCTTAAGTGAGATAAGAAAATTGTAACTTTTGTTCAGCTGACATTGATTTTATTATATTTATAGCCATACAATATGTTATGTTGTGCTTTGATTGGTGTAAGAAACAAAGGATTCACGACACTAGCAGGGTGGTACCTCCCGTCGTGAGGTAGCATCGTATGTAATGCCCAGTTCCCGGTACGTATTTTAATTTAAACTTTTGCATTTTTACTCTGGGACTCGACGAGTTGGAGGCCCAACTCATCGAGTAGATGTGAGTTTTGGGACGCGGGTGGAAGAATCTACTCGCCGAGTCGGAAGCCCGACTCGACGAGTAGACCTATCTGGATGAAACCCTAAATTTGATGGTTTACACCTTATTTAACCACATTAAGTGGCCTCCACTCCAGCCTCCATCACCCTCAGACCCCATTCTCGAAACCCTAATCATTTGTGAGTGTTCTTGAGCTATTTTGGTGCCATTTTTGTGATTGAAGCTTGGAGAAAGAAGGAAAGGCTTGGAGGTTCAAGAAGAAGGCAGTAGATCCCGAGTCTTGGTTGCATCTCCAGCTTGTTTGAGGTAAAAAAGCTTCAACCTTGACTTCCCATTTGTTAGATCTTCTTTAGGGCTTGAATCTTGTCATTTTTGGGGCATTCTAGTCACTTTCGGGATTTGAGTGAATATGAGAGTGATGGCTTCAGATCTTGAACCTTTAAGGGTTCCCATGGCATAAAGGTGCCAACTTTATGGCCATGGGAGTCCCATGCACCATGTAGACTCCATTTTAGGTCCTTATAAGCTAGTTAACCCATGCATGCACGTAAAGTTTTGTAACTTTACGTGATATATCGATCCTAGGAGGCCAGATCTAAGTTCTAGATGCATTGAGCCCGACTAAAATCGAATTGGTAGACTTGGACTTTGGGGGACTCGGCGAGTCGCTCATAGGACTCGACAAGTCGGGTAATGGTTCCCCAACCTTTTCTGTTTCTGATCGATCTGGTTGAGTATAGAAGAGGACTCAACAAGATGGACTTGAATATGGACTTGAAGATCGAAGAACTCGACGAGTTCAAGGATGAACTCGACGAGTTCAAGGATGAGCTTGACGAGTTCAAGGCAATGTCCCAACGTATATGAAGAAAGACTCAACAAGTTAAAGGAAGAACTCGACGAGTCAAGGACTAAACGCTTCAAATTGTATGAAGAAGGACTCGACGAGTTTATAGACAAGCTCGGCGAGTCAAGAACAAAGGTCTCGATTCCGTATGAAGGAGAACTCGACGAGTTCTTGAAAGACTCGACGAGTAGGAGCGAAGTTCCAAGAGGTTAGTGGATTATGGAACTCGACGAGTTGGTGGACCAACTCGGCGAGTTGAGTCAGCCAGGTGTTGACTTTGACCAAAAGTTGACTTTGACCAGGGTGTTGACCTTGACTTTGACTTGACTTGAGTTGACCCTTGAAAGGGTTAAGAGTATGAAGTGGTAAGTAAGGAAGGATGTTATGTGTAGGAGTTTGAGAGGAGTTGATTCCAGCGTCGAGGACAGTTTAGACACTTCACGACATTGAGGTGGGTTACCTTCCAGTAGAAGTGGGTCTACGGCCACAACGTCGGCCCACTATTAGGAGTTGTTTAATTAGATGATTGTCTTTGTGATAATTATCTAGGTTTGCTACTACTTGATATGTTTTATGTGTTAGCATGATATGATGATATGTGATAGTAGCAGTCGGGGGAATAGTCCCCGTAACACGGTCGTAAGGACCTGAGGGTAGGTCGGGCACCCCATAATTGCCTGACAAGGTAGGTCAAGCACCCCAGAACTGCTTGACATGGGTAGATCAGGCGCCACAGAAATGTCTGGCAGGGTAGGTCGGGCACCCCAGAATTTCCCGGCAGTATGTATGTTGTATGGTATGTGGTAGGATGGGGGAACTCATTAAGCTTTGTGCTTACAGTTTCAGTTTTGTTTTCAGGTACCTCTTCTTCGAAGGGGAAAGAGCTGGCACGGTAGCAGCGCATCGCACACATACGATTTCCACATTTTGAGATCCATGCGATTGTACTATGACATTATTACTATTTTGATGATATGGTTGAGACATGTGAATATGTTATATGAAATGATATGAATCTAAGATGTTTTTCAGTAAACTATTTTATAAATGACTTAATTAAAAACAAAAATTTTGGTCTTGAAAATTGGGTTGTTACAAGTTGGTATCAGAGCCTTGGTTTGAGGGATAAGTAAGTTTTCCCCAAGATACCCATACATGTTACGTTATGATGTGATACGATTATGATAACTGCATGCTAGATTAGGGATAAGGATCTAGGAATGATGCCTTATATGCCTACTGTGTATGTATGAGAACTGCATGCTAGATTAGGGCTAAGGATCTAGGAAGATGCCTTACGTGCTTGTTATATGTGCTTATTG